GGAGGAGGGGAGAGTGTCGAACCTATTGTTTAGAAGGGGAATCCCCTTCCATTAGGACTTGAGGTAGCAAGTCCTTTTCCGGGGTTAATTCCCTTCTACTTTTAATGCCACTAGGACCAGCTTGAGAGTCACTGGACTTCTGTCGCACAACATATCTGTCCATAGAGGCCTGTACCTCTTGTTCCTGTATGACTTTCCTAAAGTGGTTCACAACAGTGTCATTGTACAGGTTGCCAACACGGCTTGCAGTAACTGTGTGAGGGTGATTTTCATCAAAAAAGCTTTGCACTTGAAGCCACTTTGAACATTTTTCCCTAATCTTTGAAGTAGGCAACTTCTTCAATTTCTCTATCCCCTCCTCCAAAGCAGTTTCCTCAGGTCTGGCCTCTTGCTGTTGAAGATGATCTAGCAGCTCATCAGTGGTTAGTTCGTCATTGTCCTCCTCCACCAACTCTTCCACATCCTCCCCACTAACCTCCAACCCCAAGGACTTCCCCAATGCCACAGTGGATTCCTCAACTGGCATAGTATTCCCAGGGTTAGCCTCAAACCCTTTGAAATCCCTTTTGTCTACACAGTCTGGCCACAGTTTTTTCCAAGCAGAGTTCAAGGTCCTCTTAGTCACTCCCTCCCAAGCCTTACCTATAAGGTTTATACAATTGAGGATATTAAAGTGATCCTTCCAAAACTCCTTTAGAGTCAATAGAGTTTCTGAGGTCACTACAAAGCACCTTTCAAACATTTTTTTGTGTACAGTTTTTTGAAGTTTGCAATGACCTGCTGGTCCATGGGCTGCAGGAGAGGAGTGGTATTAGGAGGCAAAAACTTCACCTTAATTAAGCTCATGTTCCCAGAAAGTCACTCTGCCACGTCTGTAGGATGACCAGGGGCATTGTCTAATACCAGGAGGCACTTAAGGTCTAATTTCTTTTCAGTTAGGTAATTTTTCACATTGGGGGCAAATGCATGGTGTAACCAGTCATAGAAAAAGTCCCTAGTGACCCATGCCTTACTGTTTGCCCTCCACAGCACACACAAATTAGCCTTGAGGATATTGTTTTGCCTGAACGCTCTGGGAGTTTCTGAGTGATACACCAATAAAGGCTTCACTTTGCAATCACCACTAGTATTGGCACACATCAGAAGAGTAAGCCTGTCTTTCATAGGCTTATGTCCTGGGAGTGCCTTTTCCTCCTGAGTAATGTAGGTCCTGCTTGGCAATTTCTTCCAAAACAGGCCTGTTTCGTCGCAATTAAACACTTGTTCAGGTTTCAAGTCTTTACTGTCTATGTAATCCTTGAATTCCTTCACATATTTTTCAGCTGCTTTTTGGTCCAAACTGGCAGCCTCACCATGCCTAATCACACTATGTGTGCCACTACGATTCTTAAATCTTTCAAACCAACCTTTGCTGGCTTTAAATTCACTCACATCACCACAAGTTGCAGGTAATTTCTTTACCAAATCATCATGCAACTGCCTAGCCTTTTCACAAATGATCGCTTAAGAGATGCTATCTCCTGCTATCTGTTTTTCATTTATCCACACCAATAACAGTCTCTCAACATTTTCTAACGCTTGCGGTCGCTGCTTCGTAATCACAGTTGCACCTGTTGCAACAACAGCTTCCTTGATTGCCATTTTCCTGGTCACTATAGTAGAGATAGTTGACTGGGGTTTTGTATACAACTTGGCCAGCTCCGACACACGCACTCCACTTTCGTACTTTGCAATTATCTCTTTCTTCATTTCAATAGTCATTAGCACCCTTGGTCTCGAAGGGTTGGCACTAGAAGCTTTCTTGGGGCCCATGGTGACTTATTTTGCAGAAACAAGCACCAAAAACACTGTGATAATATGGCATGTACCGAATGTATCCTTAGATGTGAGCACACTGGCTGGCTTGTAAACACTGGCACACACGGGGCAGTTCAGGCCACACGTGGACACGTCTCGGACGAATCGCGTATACGTGTACCGGGTTTTGTAACGGGAACCAAGGCAAAATTTTTGCGATACAATGCATCGAATACCGGATTTATCAGATACCGATGGCATCGTGAACTGGGGGTCCACTGTACCATATAGTACCATATGGTACAATGAACCATATGGTATCATTGTACTGTATGGTATAATGTACCATATGGTACCATTGCACCATATGGTACCATTGCACCATATGGTACCATTGTATCATATGGTACCATTGTACCAAATGGTGCCATTGTACCATATTCTACCATATGGTACCATTGTATCATGTGCCATTATTCTATATTGTACCATATGGTACAATTGTACTATATGGTACCATTGTACCCTATGGCACCATTGTACCATATGGTACCGTTGTATTCAACACAATAACCGCACTAATATTTTCATCATTTTGTTTACAATAAACTTGTAAACAAGTTTTGTAAGCAATATGATGATAAACAAATTAGTGCAGTTATTGTGTTGAATACAATGAGTGTACACTTATACAATATACATTATATTGGTCTCACAGACCACAAATGTTACTAGAAAAAGAAAAAAATTAGAAAAGAAAAGAAAAAAGTATAAAAAAATTAAAATAAAAAAAGCGATTTTGTGGAAGTCTCTGATGTTGCTGCCACCCGGTCATTTTGGGTCAACTTCCCGCCACTGTATCTCGGTAAGTACTGATCAGAAATTTTTTGTTTTTTATTACCTTCAGAAAAATATTATCATTAATTCTCTAAGAATTTTTTTTTTTTTTTTTTTTTTTTTTTTTAAATTTCTTGGACACTGGGGCACCCCTTCAGATTTTGGCCTTGGACCCTGAAAGGGTTAAAGGTATTTCTTAGCACAAAATTTCATAAAGCACCAATTTCAGAAACATAACTGCCATGTTACGAGGTGTGCCTGTACTCTAAATAATCAGTGTAGATATCTTTTATCACTCTTTAGTGTAGTATGTCTGTCATAGATCAGGATAGACTAAAGCATAGTCTAGTTTACATTTTGAATATCTGGGTTTGTCGTATATGTTTAACTTTAGTCAAAACTTAATCTGCTAATCTCCCATTCTTTTCCTTTTGCAGCTCGGTCATCATCAGAAGACTTACGTTACTAGTGGTGGCACCCAGTGCCACAAAGCTTATGTAAGTGGCAGTAATGTTATAGATACCGTGTACTGTTTGTGAACAGTGTCTTCATAAATCACGTTAAATTTGCGTGTAAACAGAAACATTAAATGAGAGTTAAAGCCTAGCATCTTAATGTTCAACTCAGAATCCTGGTCACTACACCACCACTTCAGCAGCTTGTTGATACAAGTCCAGTCAACTTGTTCAGACAGTGTGCATCGTTATCACCCACTACAGTTACAGCTTACTCATACATCTGAACTACTATATAACTTAAGCATCATTAAAATTTTGTGCACAAAAACTCACTTCTTGAATTTCACTTAGACAGGTACTGTTGTGTTGTATCTTGATAAATATTGAATTGTATTTTTGCTCGCCATTAGTACTTAGTAATACCCTGTATAACATGGTAATACCACAGTAATACCTTACATAACACAGTAATACCCTGTATAACATGGTAATACCACAGTAATACCTTACATAACACAGTAATACCTTACATAACACAGTAATACCTTACATAACACAGTAATACCTTACATAACACAGTAAACCTTACATAACACGTAATACCTTAAATAACACAGTAATACCTTACATAACACAGTAATACCTTACAAACACAGTAATACCTTAATACACAGTAATACCTACATAACACAGTAATACCTTACATAACACAGTAATACCTTAAATAACACAGTAATACCTTACATAACACAGTAATACCTTACATAACACAGTAATACCTTAAATAACACAGTAATACCTTACATAACACAGTAATACCTTACATAACACAGTAATACCTTACATAACACAGTAATACCTTACATAACACAGTAATACCTTACATAACACAGTAATACCTTACATAACACAGTAATACCTTACATAACACAGTAATACCTTACATAACACAGTATTTCCTTACATAACACAGTAATACCTTAAATAACACAGTAATACCTTACATAACACAGTAATACCTTACATAACACAGTAATACCTTAAATAACACAGTAATACCTTACATAACACAGTAATACCTTACATAAAAACAGTAATACCTTAAATAACACAGTAATACCTTACATAACACAGTAATACCTTACATAACACAGTAATACCTTACATAACACAGTAATACTTACATAACACAGTAATACCTTACATAACACAGTAATACCTTACATAACACAGTAATACCTTACTTTAAAACAGTAATACCTTACATAACACAGTAATACCTTACATAACACAGTAATACCTTACATAACACAGTAATACCTTACATAACACAGTAATACCTTACATAACACAGTAATACCTTACATAACACAGTAATACCTTAAATAACACAGTAATACCTTACATAACACAGTAATACCTTAAATAACACAGTAATACCTTACATAACACAGTAATACCTTAAATAACACAGTAATACCTTAAATAACACAGTAATACCTTACATAACACAGTAATACCTTAAATAACACAGTAATACCTTACATAACACAGTAATACTTAAATAACACAGTAATACCTTACATAACACAGTAATACCTTAAATAACACAGTAATACCTTAAATAACACAGTAATTACCTTACATAACACAGTAATACCTTAAATAACACAGTAATACCTTACATAACACAGTAATACCTTACATAACACAGTAATACCTTACATAACACAGTAATACCCTGTATAACATGGTAATACCTTACATAACACAGAAATACACTACATAACACAGTAATACCTTATATAACACAGTAATACCTTTCATTAACACAGTAATACCTTATATAACACAGTAATACCTTACATAACACAGTAATACCTTAATATAAAAACAGTAATACCTTACATAACACAGTAATACCTTACATAACACAGTAATACCTTATATAACACAGTAATACCTTTCATTAACACAGTAATACCTTACATAACACAGTAATACCTTATATAACACAGTAATACCTTTCATTAACACAGTAATACCTTACATAACACAGTAATACCTTACATAACACAGTAATACCTTGCATAACACAGTAATACCTTACATAACAAAGTAATACCTTACATAACACAGTAATACCTTACATAACACAGTAATACCTTACATAACACAGTAATACCTTACATAACACAGTAATACCTTACATAACAAAGTAATACCTTACATTACAAAGTAATACCTTACATTACAAAGTAATACCTTACATAACACAGTAATACCTTACATAACACAGTAATACCTTTCATTAACAAAGTAATACCTTTCATTAACAAAGTAATACCTTTCATTAACAAAGTAATACTTCACATAACACAGTAATACCTTACATAACACAGTAATGCCTTACATAACACAGTAATACCTTATATAACACAGTAATACCTTACATAACAGTAATACCTTACATAACACAGTAATACCTTACATAACACAGTAATACCTTACATAACACAGTAATACCTTACATAACACAGTAATACCTTACATAACACAGTAATACCTTACATAACACAGTAATACCTTTCGTTAACAAAGTAATACCTTACATAACACAGTAATACCTTACATAACACAGTAATACCTTATATAACACAGTAATACCTTACATAACACAGTAATACCTTACATAGCACAGTAATACCTTACATAACACAGTAATACCTTACATAACACAGTAATACCTTACATAACACAGTAATACCTTACATAACACAGTAATACCTTACATAACACAGTAATACCTTTCATTAACAAAGTAATACCTTACATAACACAGTAATACTTTACATAACACAGTAATACCTTACATAACAAAGTAATACCTTACATAACACAGTAATACCTTACATAACACAGTAATACCTTATATAACACAGTAATACCTTTCATTAACAAAGTAATACCTTACATAACACAGTAATACCTTACATAACACAGTAATACCTTATATAACACAGTAATACCTTACATAACACAGTAATACCTTACATAACACAGTAATACCTTACATAACACAGTAATACCTTACATAACACAGTAATACCTTTCATTAACAAAGTAATACCTTACATAACACAGTAATACCTTTCATTAACAAAGTAATACCTTACATAACACAGTAATACCTTACATAACACAGTAATACCTTACATAACACAGTAATACTTTACATAACACAGTAATACCTTACATAACACAGTAATACCTTACATAACACAGTAATACCTTACATAACACAGTAATACCTTACATAACACAGTAATACCTTTCATTAACAAAGTAATACTTTACATAACACAGTAATACTTACATAACACAGTAATACCTTACATAACACATTAATACCTTACATAACACAGTAATACCTTACATAACACAGTAATACCTTACATAGCACATTAATACCTTACATAACACAGTAATGCCTTACATAACACAGTAATACCTTTCATAACACAGTAATACCTTACATAACACAGTAATACCTTACATAACACAGTAATACCTTACATAACACAGTAATACTTTACATAACACAGTAATACTTACATAACACAGTAATACCTTACATAACACAGTAATACCTTACATAACACAGTAATACCTTACATAACACAGTAATACCTTACATAACACAGTAATACCTTACATAACACATTAATACCTTACATAACACAGTAATACCTTTCATTAACAAAGTAATACTTTACATAACACAGTAATACTTACATAACACAGTAATACCTTACATAACACAGTAATACCTTACATAACACAGTAATACCTTACATAACACAGTAATACTTTACATAACAAAGTAATACCTTACATAACACAGTAATACCTTACATAACACAGTAATACCTTACATAACACAGTAATACCTTACATAACACAGTAATACCTTTCATTAACAAAGTAATACCTTACACAACATAATCTTCAGACACATCAGTTAAAGTTTAGCTACATTTTTAATCATGTTCATGAAGCTGTGTGTTGTCAGTATTAGTCAATGTATTAACCCAGATAAATAGTTGTTTTATTAAATTGTATTGTTATTGGTACGTTTTAACATGATGGTTGAACTTCTTTATATAGGAACAATAAATTACCTTAGTTATTTGAACTTACATTGCCTATGTATTATTGTAACCACGAACAAGTGGTATTAATTGACTATGTGTATTCAATATTTGAAGGAGCCTCGGGTTCAGTGTTATAGACAATACTTTCACTATACACAGTGTGAACTTTTTAAGAGTGTTGTTTATTATGCATAACAGCCTCATCAAAATAAATAATATCAGTCGAGTGTAAGTAAAGAATAAGAATTACATTGATTACCTGAAGAGAAACATTTATGGATTATATTTTTTGGAGATTTATCAGTATATTTTATTAACATAGATGAAAGCTCTTTCACTATAAAATTTATAGGTTATCCTAGAGTTCATAGTGTTAAAAAAAAGTAAGATTAATTAAAACAAATAGATTAATGAGGAGAAACTGATTTATTCTTTAAGACCATCTAAGAGCATTTTCTGACAAAATATATCTTCAAGAAATATGAAAGTTCATTAGAAAAAAACATTATTATCCAGAGTAAACTTTAGAAGAATCAACTAAGATGATTACAGAGGATGACTCTTATCATTGTTCCGAGAGCCTAGATGAGTTTTCAAATAATTCACTGTTGGTACAGGACAAGAGTGCTGCTGCTGCTGCTGCTGCAGCAGGTGAGGAACCATTTCAGTGCTCAGTCTGTGAAAAAGGTTTTTCTCGTAAATCTTCTCTGGTCAACCATTCAAAAGTTCATAGAGAAGCTAGAGTATATCAGTGTTTAGTGTGTCAAAAATGCTTTTCTGAAAAATCATCTTTAGTAAAACATACAAGAATTCATACAGGAGAGAAGCCATACCAGTGTTTAGTGTGTCTAAAAGTCTTTACTGAAAACTCTGCTTTAGCAAAACATACTAGAGTTCACACTGGAGTGAAGCCCCACGAGTGTTCAGTATGTCTAAAGGGCTTCGCGGAAAGATCCTCATTAATACGACACACGAGGATCCACACTGGAGAGAAGCCATATAACTGTTCTGAGTGTCTAAAGAGTTTTTCTCATAAACCTTCTTTAATAATTCATTTGAGAGTTCATACAAAAGAGAAACCGTATCATTGTTCAATATGTCTTAAAGACTTTTCAGTAAAATCACACTTAATACAACACACAAGAGTTCATACAGGGGAAAAACCATACCAGTGTCCAGTTTGTCATAAAGAGTTCTCAGTAAAATCACATCAATCACAGCACATGAGAGTTCATACAAGAGAAAAGTTATATCATTGTTCAGAGTGTCTCAAAGATTTTTCTCATAAGTCTTCTCTAGAAAATCACATGAGATCTCATACAGGAGAAAAACCTTACAAATGTTCAGAGTGTCCTAAAGAATTTTCAATAAAAACACATTTATTACTACATACGAGAGTGCATACAGGAGAGAAACCATATCATTGCTCAGTATGTCAAAAAAACTTTAAACAAAAATCACATTTAGTAAAACATATGAGAGTTCATACAGACGAGAAACCATGATGGTAGCATTTAACACACTTGTGCTCTCTATTCTTGTCTATTGTTCACTGTTCACAGTACCTTTACATTGACAGGGAAATACATCAGTGCCAGAAACTACAAAAATGGTTTACTGCTTGCATAGTCAATAAAACATTTAAAATTGATGGAATTTTCCTGCATACCAACAGCCCCTTTTAACCCTTTCAGGGTCCAGAGGCCAAATTTCAAAGTGCGCACCAGTGTCCAAGAATTTTCAAAAAATAATTTTGTTATTTTTTCTTATGAAATGGTAGAGAATCTCTTTGTGAAGGTAATAAAACAAAAAGTATGAAATTTGATGAAAAATTGATGAAATTGTGCACTTGCGAATTTTGATGTGTCAGCGATATTTATGCATCGGCGATTTTGCCGATTTTGACTCCCATTTTAGGTCAATTACCTTATTCCAGTTGATCAAATTCTTAGCTATTTCACTAGTATTACTTCTATTCTATCGATTAAGCACAAGAATTTGTCAACAATGCTGTTTCACCTACAAAATAAAGTGATTGGAAATTGGTAATTTGGCCAATTTAATGCAAAGTTCAAAATATTCCAATTTCAAAATAGGGTCCAGAATAAACAATGCAGGCATTCCTGGCACTAAACTAACATTTCCTCTGTTCATTAGTTATGTTTTCAGGCTTTACAAATGAATTCTGTTTTTATTTTTAATTCATATAATGAATTTTTATTCAAACCAAAAAATAGAAGATTTACTGTTATGCAATACTGTAATAATTGTATAAATAATATCACCACATTTGTGAATGTATATTAGACCCATCAGCTGGCGCGTATTAGATGTGTGAGGTCATTTGTTTACTCTTGAACATCGGCAAAAATTTAACGTTTCCGCTACTTTGAGCTCGGTTTCAAGCCATTTCCAATACTAAAACCAATCAAAATCATCTCTGTTTCTGTAATATATCTTCCATTCTATCAAATGAGACCAAGAAATTGCAAATACAACTATAAAAAACATAAAAACACTGCAAAGTCGCTGTTTTAATCGAAAATTATGGTCTCGGTTTTATTCTCTTGTTATGCACTGTGTGCTGTAGGATTTGTTTTATGTGGTGCACACATACCACATAGATGTACTCTCTCATATCTAGGCCCAAATTTACCGCTCACAGCTTATCAGAGCGAGCTGAGCTCATCGCGTAGATCTACGGTTTGGACCCTTAACGTAAAGCCGTAGATCTACGGCACGGACCCTGAAAGGGTTAATAGAGTAGGTGAAATTGCAGACCAAGAAAATGTACAGAGAATTTTCACTGCCTGTATAATTTTAGTGAAAAACCTGTGTAATTTTCTCCCATTAGGATAATTAAAATCATTCTCATCCACTGAATTATCATTTTTATTCATCACTGTACAGGTCAAGACATTCTTATTTATCACTATTTATAAGCCAAGATCTTCTCAATCATCACTGTGCAAGCCAAGATCTTCTTCAGCTTGTGACCTGATCTTACAATCTTAAAGTCCAAACGTCATTTGAGTCTGACCTCAACAGTGATGAGTCAGTGGATGCAACATTTGTATCTGGCACCAAGATTATGAAATATTTATTAATTAATATTTACATTTAATAAATAATTTAATTAATAATTAATATTACATTACCCAGGGAGGTACTGCCATCCTGCCAAGTGAGTGTAAAATGAAAGCCTGTAATTGTTTTACATGATGGTAGGATTGCTGGTGTCTTTTGCCTGTCTCATAAATATACAAGATTACAGGTACGTCTTGCTACTTCTATTTTCACTTAGGTCACACTACACATACATGTACACATTTATTTTTACACACTCATCTGAGTTTTCTTTGATTTTATCTTAATTGTTCTTATTCTTATTACTTTTCCTTTTATGCCCATGGGGAAGTGGAATAAGAATCTTTCCTCCATAAAAGTCAACTAAAATGCCAAGAACAATGGGCTAGTAACCCCTTTTTCTGTAATAATTACTAAAAAGAAAAAGAAGAAGAAAATTGTCAAAGTGGGAAGTCTGAATGTGTGTGGATGTTGTGCGAATGATAAGAAAGAGATGATTGTGGATGTTATGAATGAGAAGAAGCTGGATGTCCTGGCTTTAAGTGAAACAAAGTTGAAGGGGGTGGGAGAGTTTCAGTGGAGAGGAATAAATGGGATTAGGTCAGGGGTTTCAAATAGAGTTAGAGCTAAAGGAGGAGTAGCAATAATGTTGAAGGATAAGCTATGGCAGGAAAAGAGGGAGTATAACTGTATTAATTCAAGGATTATGTGGAGTAAAATAAAGGTTGGATGTGAAAAGTGGGCTATAGTAAGCGTATATGCACCTGGAGAAGAGAGAAGTGTAGAGGAGAGACAGAGATTTTGGGAAATGTTGAGTGAATGCATGGGGAGTTTTGAATCAAGTGTGAGAGTACTTGTGATTGGGGATTTCAATGCTAAAGTGGGTAAAAATGTTGTGGAGGGAGAAGTAGGTAAATCTGGGGTGCCAGGGGTAAATGAAAATAGGGAGCCTTTAACTGAACTATGTGTAGAAAGAGGTTTGGTAATAAGTAATACATATTTTATAAGAAAGAGGATAAATAAATATACAAGGTATGATATAGCACGTAATGAAAGTAGTTTGTTAGATTATGTATTGGTGTTCAAATTAATAATAAATAAATAAATAAAGCTTGATGGGTAGGCTCCAGGATGTATATGTTTATAGAGGGGCAACTGATATATCCGATCATTATTTAGTTGTAGCTACAGTTAGAGTAAAAGGTAGATGGGATGTGAGGAAAATGGCAACAAGAAGTAAGAGAGAGGTGAAAGTGTATAAACTAAGGGAGGAGGAAGTTAGGGTGAGATATAAGCAACTATTGGCAGAAAGGTGGGCTAGTGCAAGTATGAGTAGTGGAGGGGGGGGGGGGTTGAAGAGGGTTGGAATAGTTTTAAAAATGCAGTATTAGAATGTGGGGCAGAAGTTTGTGGTTATAAGAGGGTGGGGGGCAGGAGCAAAGAGGAGTGATTGGTGGAATGATGAAGTAAAGGGTGTGATGAAAGGGAAAAAGGTAGCTTATGAGAGGTTTTTACAAAGAAGTGTTATAAGAAGAGCAGAGTATATGGAGAGTAAAAGAAAGGTTGAGAGAGTGCAAAAGGAGAGCAGATGATAGAGTGGGAGAGGCACTGTCAAGAAATTTTAATGAAAATAAGAAAAAATTTTGGAGTGAGTTAAACAAGTTAAGAGAGCCTAGGGAACGAATGGATTTGTTAGTTAAAAACAGAGTAGGGGAGTTAGTAGATGGGGAGATGGAGGTTTTGGGTAGATGGCGAGAATATTTTGAGGAACTTTTAAATGTCAACGAAGAAAGAGAGGCGGTAATTTCTTGCACTGGCCAGGGAGGTATACCATCTTCTAGAAGTGAAGAAGAGCAGGATGTGAATGTGGGGGAGGTGCGTGAGGCATTACATAGAATGAAAGGGGGTAAAGCAGCTGGAACTTACGGGATCATGACAGAAATGCTAAAAGCAGGGGAAACAACACACAGTGTTGGAGTGGTTGGTATTTTTGTTTAACCCTTTCAGGGTGCAAAGGCCAAATTTCAAAGTGCCCACTAGTGTCCAAGAATTTTCAAAAAATAATTTTGTTATTTTTTTCTTATGAAATGGTAGAGAATCTTTTTCTGAAGGTAATAAAACAAAAATTATGAAATTTGATGGAAAATTGACGAAATTATGCTCTCACGAATTTTGATGTGTCAGCGATATTTACACATCGGCGATTTTGCCGATTTTGACTCCCATTTTAGGCCAATTGTATTACTCCAGTCAACCAAATTTTTAGCTATTTCACTAGTATTACTTCTATTCTATCGATTGAGCACAAGAAATCGCCAAGTCAACTGTTTCAACTACAAAATAAAGTGATCGGAAATTGGTAATTTCGCCAATTTAATGCAAAGTTCAAAATATTCTAATTTCAAAATAGGGTCCAGAATAAACAATGCAGGAATTCCAGGCACTAAACTAACATTTCCTCTGTTCATTAGTTATGTTTTCAGGCTTTACAAATGAATTCCATTTTTATTTTTATTCACATAATGAATTTTTATTCGAACCAAAAAAATAGAAGATTTACTGTTATGCAATATTGTAATAATTGTATAAATAATATCACCACATTTGTGAACGTATATTAGACCCACCAGCTGGCGTGTATTAACCCTTTGACTGTCGCGGCCGTATATATATACGTCTTACGAGGTACCATGTTTGACATATATATACTCATAAATTCTAGCGGCTTCAAGTCAAGCAGGAGAAAGCTGGCGGGCCCACATGTGAGAGAATGGGTCTGTGTGGTCAGTGTGCACCATATAAAAAAAATCCTGGAGCACGCAGTGCATAATGAGAAAAAAAAAACTCCGACCGATTTTTTTAATTAAAATGCTGACTTTGTGGTCTATTTTCGTATAGTATTTATGGTTGTATTCTCGTTTTCTTGGTCTCATTTGATAGAATGGAAAACATATTATAGAAATAGAGTTGATTTTGATTGATTTTACTATAAAAAGAACCTAGAAATGGAGCTCAAAGTACGGGAAATGTTTGATTTTTGCCAATATTCAAAAGTAAACAAATGATGCCATTGTCCAATAAATGTCCAACTAGCCATTCTAATATGCAGTCATGAATGGGTTGATGTTATTTATACAATTATTACAGTATTGCAGCAGTCTGCATAATAGTAAGTCTTCTATTTTTTGTTTGAATGAAAATTCAAAATAGAAAGCAAGAGTAATATCAGAGGGGCCTGGAGACATGACTGAAGAGCAAAGAAAATGTTATTTTAGAGCCAGGAATGTCTGCATTGTTCATTCTGGACCTTATTTTGAAGTTGTCATATTTTTTAATTTTCGTGAAATTGGCCAAATTGCAAATTTCTGACCACATTATTAGGTAGTTGAAATCGGTAAATGGGCAGTTTCTTGTACTCAATCGATAGAAAAAATGGAGTTCTAAAGAAATAGCTACGAGTTTGGGCGACTGGAACAATGGAATTAGCCGAAAATAGGGCTCAAAGTGGGCGAAATCGCCGATTTGTAAACAGCGCCGAGGTCGCTAACTTCGCGAGAGCATAAT